CCCCTCCTCCTCCTCCTCCTCCTCAACAACAACAACAACAACAACAACAACAACAACAACAACAACAACAACAACAACAACAACAACAACAACAACAACGACGACGACAACAACAACAACAACAACAACAACAACAACAACAACAACAACAACATTACCAACACCACCATCATCGCAACAGCCTCATCACCACCACCACCATCTTCATCATCATCGCCGTCACCCCCCATGAGCCCAGGACGGGCTCCAAGCCCCCGGCTTCCGAGAGAGGCGGGGCGCGCCCCCGCCTGAGCAGGCCCGAGATCGGGTTGACGCGCGGGTAGCCGCCGCCCCCCCCGCCGCCGCCGTAGCCGTAGGGCCTCGGAGGGCCCCGCCGGAGGCGCGCGCGAGCGCGCGGCCTCCGCGGGGTCTCTGGAGGAGGCCACTGCGGAGGCCCCAGGCGCAGAGAAGGCCCCCCGGGAGGGGCCCCCCCCCGGGGGGGCCCGAAGGCCCGCGGAGGCGGGGGGGGGGGCCCTGGACGCCCTGGAGAGCGAGGCCTGGGGCACCACGGAGGCAGCGACCCTCTGTACCCGCGGCGGCGGCAACGCGCGCGCACGCGCCATGCCCGCGGCGTGCGCGCGGCGAAGCCGGTGCGGAGGCGGCCGCGCTGGGGGGAGAGGGGGAGGCCTCCTCCTCCTCCTCCTCCTCCTCCTCCTCCTCCTCCTCCTCCTCCTCCTCCTCCTCCTCCTCCGCCTCTGCGGCCACGTCTTCGTCCCACTGCTCATTTGCAGCTTCTCCCCTCCCTCATCTTCACGGTCGTCGTTCTCTTCATCACCCACACCGTGCCCAGGAGCCTGCTGCTCCGCTGCCGGGCGCCCGACGCCGACGTACAGTCGGACCTAGGACGGAAGAACATCCTTCAAAAGCATGAGACCCTCCGCCGGCCAAAAATGATGAGCATTCGAGGGTACCCTTCCCCAGGATGCACAAGAGCATCCCGCAGACACGAAGGACATCAGGCCACCCTCCCCGAACCGACCTCGACCTTACACCTCGATCTCACTGTGTCTCTCCTTCCTCGTCTTCACGGCCGTCGTCCTCTGCATCACCCACACACACGCGCCCCAGGGCTGAACCTAGACGGTGTTGTTCGTCTTCGTGTTGTCTTCGTTTTCCCTCGCTTTGTCTCCGATTCGCCGTTTCAACGCAACACGACATCGAAACGACCACGGCCCACGGAATCGCCAGAACGCCGTTCAGGTCCACCCCTGACGCGTCCTGGGCGGCTGAGCCCCGGCGGCCCGCGTCTCCGTCACCGTCGCAGGCAGGCGGCCGCGCTCGAGGCACGGAGCGTCGCAGCGCGCGGCGCCGGCGAGAGGCCCGGCCCGCGGGCGGCCTCCCCCGAGTCTGACCCTTCGCCACACTTCCGTGCCGCCACCCCGTCCGGGCCCACCGCTTCCTCGCAATACGCCCCTCTTCCTCGCAATGCGCCCCGCCCGCGGGCGGCATCCACCGAAGCTGGCCCTTCGCCATACTTCCGTGCCGCCACCCCGTCCGGGCCCACCGCTTCCTCGTAGTACTCCCCATCCTCCACGATCATCCCAGATCTCTGCGGGGGGCCAAACCAAGGTTCAGGGGCGCCCAAGAAATCTCGATCCTCCTTCCTCCGCCTCCCCTCCTTGCCTCGCAGCCCACTTCCCCCCACACTTCTCCCACACCTCTCCTCGCACCAATCAGCCCTTCCCCTGGCTGCCCAACCAGCCTGACCTACGCTCGGGGCAACTGTTGGACTTGGCATGCGACCTCCCTGTGGTCGACAGCTGAATAGCGGCCCCTAGCTTGTCCTCTCATCGGTCGTGGCTGGCGCAGGGAAGTTCAAGCCTGCAGGTTGGCGCACACAGCAGACACAGGGTACCAGCAACAATTCCTGAGCACATGCGAACTCAGCTGCCCCGCTACGCAACGCGCAAGCCGTAACGTGCTGCCACGGAGCTCAACACGCAGACTGCACACGCAGATCCGGCGCGATGCGTTCGCCACAACGTGGACCGAGGCGTGCCGACCCGACACGCAGCGTGTCGATGGAGACGTGCCAAAGACGGCACGTGCTGCGTCTCAAGACGGGCGTATCCAGGCAGCTAAGCGCAGGGGCAAGCTCGTCGTGCCGCTAACTCCCGCGAAGCGGGCCGGCCCTCGGGAGGGGCAAGAAAAAATCTCCGCGCGGGCACATGCCGCGGCAGGCTGCTGTCTTGTGCCGCGTGCCTCCTGCCTGCTAGCCTGTCTCGAGGATGCCGAGACAGGCAATCGCCGCACTTCCGTACGGGAGCAGAAACACAGTCGGGCCTCGGCCAGAACAGCACCCTTCAAGAACATGAGGTCCTCCGTGGGCCAATACGCACAAAACATCCAAGGGTACTCTCCCCTGGATGCACAAGAACATCCAGCAAACACGAAGAGCACTAGGGCACCCTCCCCGAACCGACCTCGATGTTATACCCCGGTCCGACTGTAGATTCTGAGGCCTCGGGTGCTACAGTTGTCAGAGCTTCGCTCCCAAACCTGGGGCCCCAACTCATGGGCCCTACGAAAGGGAAGGGGAAGGGTGTGAGGGCATGGTCAGCAGAGACTTCCCAGGTTGGTCGCTGGCCCTCTCCGCCCGAGCCCCCTGGGCATTAAAAGCATTGAGCCGCGAAGCAGACGTAACAACAAGTGCTTTCCATGGCTGCCCGACGGCTGCCGTGAATTACACGTCGATCGCGTCGTTTGCACTTGGCCAGCACATCCAACAACATATGTGTTATATAAGTGTGCATATACATATTATGTGTGTATTCGACGTGTCGTGTGGGTCCCAACCCGTGAATCGAAAGCGCGGGGAGCCTTTTGGCCTTCTGGCAGGCAGGTGTCGCATAATGTTGACGCGACTGCTGCATTTGAACCGATCAAATCCAACATCTTCCTTGGAGGGAGGTCCCCCTCGGGAGGGAAAGTAATCTCGATGACGTTGGCAGACTTCGGCACAGGTCATCGACACAATCGAACCGGTGACAAGCACGCTCTCGATCCTCCTCTTCCTCCTCTTTCTCCTCCTCCTCCTCCTCCTCCTTCTCCTCATCCACCTTCTCCTTCTCCTCCTCATTCACTCCCTCCTTGTCGCCCTCCCCCTGATTCTCTTCCGCCTGCTCCTCCTCATCATCTTCCATCCCCCACCAACTCCTCCTCCTGCTTACCCTCCTCTCTCCTCCTCCTCCTCCTCCTCCTCCACCTCCTTCTCCTCCTTCTCCTCCTCCACCTCCTTCTCCTTTTCCTCCTCCTCCCTCCACCTTGCCCCTCATCCCTCTTCACACTCCCCTCTTCCATCCCTCCCCGCCCCGGTCCTCCCTCACACCTCCCCCATGGCCCCGACGGAGACGACGACGACGACGACGACGAGGACGACGACGACGACGACAACGACGACGACGACGACGACAACGACGACGACGACGACGACGACGACGACGACGACGACGACGACGACGACGACGACGACGACGACGACGACGACGACGACTACAGCGGCGACGACGACGACGACCCTGAGACCCGACGCTGCGACGAGGTCGCAACGTCCTGGTAGAGCACGACCAGAGCCATGGACCAGAGAGAAGGAGGAGGAGGAGGAGGAGGAGGAGGAGGAGGAGGAGGAGGAGGGGAAGGAGGAGGAGGAGGAGGAGGAGGAGGAGGAGGAGGAGGAGGAGGGAGGAGCCATGGACCCCATCTATGAAGGGGAACTGGGACACACAAAAAAATACACACAGATAACAATACCCCCCCTATCTTCCCATCTTTTCTGGGTTTCTGTCCCCCCCCACACTTCCCATATTTGCCCATATTTTCCTGCGAGTGGACGATTAATTGTGTCTGTGTGTTTTTTCTCCTCCTGAATCCAGGGGTGCGCCCGGACCATTTCCAGGCCAGCCTGGCCGTGGCGACGAGGGCCTCCCAGGAGGCCCCAACAGGGGGAAGCTCTGCAACGCATTTGAAGTCCGCGGGCGCCAGGGTGTGCGAGACGGTCAGGCGCCGGTCAGAGCGAGCGGTGGGCTGAAGCTAATACGAGAAGAGACACAGGCAGAGCCCGATCAGACCACGCAGGCCGGCGCGAGTGGCAACAGACACCTCTGTAGCACGCCACTGTGACAACGAAGGCAACTCGGCGGTGAGCCCAGGGGGGGAAGTGAAAAGGGGCGGGCCTTTTCTAAATGCTCTGGGGTCCCCCGGCCTTCTGAGAAGTTCCCTCACCCTCCCCCGAAGACAGAAGCAAATCCTAAAGACCCGGAGGCTTCTGAGAAGTTCCGCCGCCTTCTGAGAAGGCCTTTTCCTTCTCGCTTCCCCCCCTCGCTCGCCGCAGGGCAGCGCCCTGATCTCAAACGCAGGGCGGCGGCGACGGCGACCGCGCGCCGCGCCCAAGCCCCGGGCTGCTGCTGCCCAGCGGCGCACTGCCCGTTCATGCAGGTCGCGCCCTGCGGGGAGTCCGCCGCGCGGCTCGGCTGGAGAAGATCGCGTTGTACAGTCAGCCCGTCGTTTTCAGGACGCACGCTTAGGGTTCAAGGGCCTGCGAAAGCGGCCAAGGATGGGTCGACGGGGAAGGATGCAAAGGTAACCTTTGAAAGTTGCTCAGCATTGCTATGCGGGCTGACTGTAAGGCGCCCGTAAAAACTGAAACTGTTGATTGTCGCGTCCAGTGATTTTCGCGTTCTCGCTTTTCCGGGTGTCCACAAGCCCAACACGGCGCGAGTTGCCCCCCAACTGGCATAAGACGGCCCATGAGGCCCCCAAGAAGGCGTGGGAACGGCCCAAGAGGCCCCTGGACTGCCCAAGAGGCCCTCAAGACACCAGAAAAAACCTCCAAGAGGGCTCCTGGAGGGGCCAAGACAGGCCCAATCGAGGGAACCCGCAAGGACACCGACCCCCCCTTCCCACACACCCCATCAAGATGGCCCCCAAGACCCCCAGCATGCCCCCAAGAAGGCCCCAGAGGCCCACACACAGCTCCCCCAGGAGCGCCGAAAAACCTTCAAGAGTCCCCCAAGAAGACTCAAGACGTGCCACGGACGCGGAGGAAGAGGAAGACGACCCGGCAACACCTACACGCAGGCAGCACAACGGAGGTGTCAGACAACACACACTCACGCGAAAATCGAGAGCCGCGCATCTCCTCTCCTGGGGATCGGCGACATGGCGCAGGCATCTTCGATCACATCGTCGGCCTCCAACCTGCCAGAGCGCACGTGGTGGGCAGGGTGAGGGGCGGGCTTCCAAGGACTCGCCATCGCTCGGACGTCCATTCCCTGTGCTTTTGTTCGGTTTCGTGCGTGGCTTTTTCGCCAGATGATCAAGGATGCTCCTCGATGGCCCTCGCCGACGGAAAAATACACACGTCCGAGCGATGCCGAGAGGAGTGGACGACGTCGCCGCTCTGGAGGCTCGGGGGGCGTCTCTGCAGGCTCTCCCCGCCGCGGCCCGAGGAGCGGCCCGAGGAGCGGCTTTTTGGGGGGGGGCTGGCCCGGAGCGGAGGGAGGGCCTCCCAACGAGGCGTGGGACTTCTTGGACTTCCCTTCCCCCTCCCCCTCTCTCTCCCCCCTCCTCTTGTCGACGCGCCGACGCTTTGTCCCGACGAATTGTGTTTTTGAACTCACGACGTCGATTTGTCGCCCGCCGCTCGCTCGCACGACGCACGTTTGCTCGGTGCGCGCGGGGGCCGGTCAATCCTTAGTGAATGCTCTGTTGCCGATGCGCCGTCCGGGCGCCTGGCTTCTCTGTCTGTCTCTGATCGGGCTCGGAGGCGCCTGAAGCGGTTTGGTCGAAGGCCTGGGGAGGGGGGCTCTTGGAAAGCCCCCTTCCACCTGGTCGCTTGTTCAACCGCGCAGACGCGCCCCAAAAGACCGAGCACGTGAGGGTAACAACTACTTGATAATGTCTCGGAACCCGTAGCAGGCTGTGTCGTCTTAGTATGCCGTTTCGTTTTCTGCAACAGATTCGATAATTCTCTAGGGTGGACTCCTTGATGGAACAACCGTCCTCTTACAGTCGCCCCTCTGTGGTGCTTCTTGGCGCACTTTTCGGTGCAAGGTCGACCACAGAAGCTCAAAAAACGCATCGAAACGGCGACGAGCAAGAGCCAAATAAGGGCCAATGGCCAATGATATCTTGCAGCCGTTGGGAGCTCGTTCGGCCCCAAGACCGCCCAAAGACGGCCCAGCGAGCTCCAAAAGGCTCCCAAACCTCCTAAAGACGCCCCGGGAAGCTCCAAAAACCCATGAGAGACGCCAAAAGAGGCCTCCGGCGAGGCCCCGGAAAGGCCAAGAGCCGGAGCACTTTGAACAAGCATCAGAGACATCAGTATGACATCATCCTGTGGTGATGGGTCCTCGTTTTGAAGAGACGTCGCCCCGAGTTCCTCCTCCTTCCTCCTCCCGCCTCCCCTCCTCTCATCATCATCATCATCATCATCATCATCATCATCATCATCATCATCATCATCAGCAGCAGCAGCAGCAGCATCATCATCATCATCATCATCATCATCATCATCATCATCATCATCATCATCATCATCATCATCATCATCATCATCATCATCATCATCATCATCATCATCATCATCATCATCATCATCATCATCATCAGCATCGTCATCATCGTCGTCATCAGCATCATCAACATCAGCATCACCAACAACAACATCATCACACGTTTCGTTGCCCCATAGGGAGCTCCACCGAAGGTCCCCGTGGCGCGGTTGGCATGCATATCCCCCCCCCAGTACAGCGTTTCGTGGCCCCACGGGGAGCGCCACCGAAGATCCCCGTGGCGCAGTCCGCATGCGGTTCCCCCACCCAATACAGCGCGTCGTGGCCCCATAGGGGCTCCGCCGAAGGTCCCAGTGGCACAGTCCGCATGCGTCCCCGCCACTCATTTCGGCACACCGCTCACACGTTTCGTGGCCCCATAGGAGCTCCGCCGAAGGTCCCAGTCGCACAGTCCGCATGCGTCCCCGCCACTCATTTCGGCGTGGTCTAGAGCGGTTTCTCTTCCAACCCCTCCATCCTCCCTTTCGGGGATGGGCTAAGAACTGGTCCGTATTAGTATGCACCCCTTCCTCCTGGCGACCATCGGCCAACCAGGAACCATACTCAGCCCCCCCACCATCCCTGCTTATAAACAGTACAAGTCGCACTCTGCCTCCAGACTTGGAGCATGCGCAGCCACCCCGATGCTCCCCCCACCCCCCCGCACCACCCCTGTCAATAAACAATGCTACGCACACGTCGGGGCAACATATTGAGTCATGCCCGCGAGCACTTTGTGTTGTGTTTGGCAGGGACGGCGGGGGTGTCAGCATATTGCCTGCTGCCTCAGGGCTACCATCCCTAACAAAAAACAACACAACATGCGAATCGCGATTTAACATGGTTAATGCGCGGCTGCCCCGCGATCGCTGCCAAGTAGTTTTTGACAGGGACGGCCGGGGTGGTGGCGTATGGTCTGCTGTGCGCAAGCCCACCAGACACAATGATGGGCAGTGGCGTTCGACTAGGATGGTGGGGGCCGACATGTTTCCCGATGAGTGCTGTCACGTGCGCAGGCGCACCTGACGCACTCTGCACGTGCCCCGAATGTGGCGCACCTGGCGTTGCTGGAGTATGCGGCACAACTGGTGCACGCGGGGCACGTGGCGCATCTGGCGCACCAAGCGTGGCTGGCACGCTCGGGCCCCAGGGGTGCCTGGCCCGCGTGGCGCGCCTGGCACGCGTGGCGCACCTCACCCCAGCATCGCGCACATGGGGTCGGTGTTGGTTCCCAGTAGCTGCCCATCCAAAGACGACCGCTGAACATGTTCAGGCTCGGGTACTACTTATGTGCTGGGAGGGCGGGTGGGATTGAGCTAGACGACTTGCTATCTAGGGCGTGTCTTGATCCCTCCCCTTACCCCTCTTCCCTGGACCTGGAGGGGGAGGGGGGTCGCGAGGCGTTGGAGCGTCCAAGATGGCCCATGGTGGCTCCGAGGGGGCCTCAGAGAGCCCAGTATGACCTCCAAGATGGCCCACGATTGCCCAAGATGGCTCCAGATGGCTCCCAAGCTGCTCCAAGAGGCTCCAAGACCGACCCAATACGGCTCCGAATGGCCATGGAACATCCCCCGAGGCCGCCAGGAGACCCAAATCCTTCAAAAACCTAAGGAACATCAAGGATTTGTGCATTCTCGCCTTTTCGCTTCCGATGGCCTACCGAGGCCTCCAGACAACGTCAAGGGGGCTCGAGAGGGCCCCAAGAGAGGCCGAAGAGGGCCCTATGCGGCCCCAAGAGCGCCCAAGAGCGGCCCAAGAGCGCTCCAAGAGGGGTCCAAGAGGCGAGTCTAAGCACTTTAGAAGAGCAGAGCTAATTGGGTCCCCCCTTTTTTGATCGATCTCCTCCAAGATGGATCCAAGAGCGCTTCCAAGGCTTTCGGGAGCGCCCCAAAAGGGCTCCAAGAGGCGCCCAGGAGGCCCCAAGAGGCGCTCAAGAGGCCTCCAAGAGGCTCCCAAGAGACCCCCAAGAGGCCCCAAAAGGCTCCCCGAGGCACCCACGACGCTCTAAGCGGGCATCGTCTCTGGATGGGCTGGTGGGGGTTCTTTTTTTGGTTTTTTTGGTCGCAGCCGCAGGCGAGAGCGCAAGCGGCGAGTCGCAAGTCCGGGGCGCGGGCCTACTAATTAAAACAGGAGCAATCTGGAGCGGCGTAACCTAAACAACTAGCTGCCTAAGCGTCGCCTCAGGTAGGCTGCAAGCTGCACTGAGTGTGGATGCCAGGGCCAGGGGCTGGTGGGGTTTCGCGAAGCGTCAAGAATGAGTATAGTCGAAGTCCCCAGAAGTGTACCCTGGCACGATTTACGAACGTCGGGCCGCGACCGTCACGTTGATTCTGGATTGTCAGGATTTCCCTTCTGGCACGATCCTGGACTGCCAGGGCGCAAGAGTCATGTTGATCCGCGGCGCTGAAGACCCAGCAACAGTGTGTTGGCGCTTTTGAAGATTCTCAAACGGTTGCGTTCCCATGGTAGTCCGCTTCCTGCCATGAAAAACATTCGAGGGTCCTATGAGGAGGGATATGCGTGAAGGAGGGTTCCTTGCAACCTTGACGCGGTCTACACTAGTATCCCCCCTCTTCTTCCTCGTCATCCTCGCACGTAGCCCAGGAAAGTCCGAACGTCCTCACCGCTCTACCTCAGCCTGCTGCAGCATCTGAGCACGTGCAGCACGTGCCGAACAATCGAGAGACTGGGCAGGGCAGCGACGGTGTGCATTGTACATGCAATACGCTATAATCATACGCTGGCACGCCTCGTCATCCTCCTCCTCCCGCAGACAGCAGCAGCTCAGCATCAATCCCCAGGCCCCTCCCGGGGTCCGCACGCCCCCGCTTCCCGAGCGCTGCGCCCGGCCGTGGCGACGAGGGCCCCCCCCCGAAGGCCAACTGCCGGTTCCCCAGCTCGCCCTCCGCTGACCGTCCTCATCCAAGGGGCCAAGGACACACAAATAAATACACACAAATAAAAAGATTCCCCATATTTTCTCATATTTTCTGGGTTTTCGTCTTCCCGCACAATTCCCATATTTTCCCATATTTTCTTGGGGATCGACGATTAATTGTGTCTGTGTGTTTTTTCCCCTCCTGACTCGTCCTTGTCCTCATTCGTCCTTCTCCTCGTCCTCTGGACTTCTCCCACGGCGCGTTCGAGGCGCGTTCTTGCCAGGATGCCGGCGCGGATGCAGACGTGGCGGCGAGGGCGACGAGGGTTTCCCAAGAAGCGCAAAAAGGCGGAAACGAGGGGAGGCTGGCGGTATCCGCATCTTTTCCCCCCGTGATCTTGCCTCCTCACGGTCCTCCTTCGTCGCCGTCGTCCTGCCGCAGCCGCACTTTCCTCCATTCTCCTCCGCCCGCCTCCTTGCAAGCGCAGCCATGTTCGCGCCTCGCGCTGCACCCAGCCTGAAGCACGATTCACTTTGCGCTATCGCGCCGCCCCCACGGGGAGGAGGATGAGGGCGAGGGCACAGACATGCGACGTCCTGATGTTTTCAATCCACGGTCCCCAGAAGTCCTGACCCTTTTCTTTTCCTGGGGCCGATCGTCCTCCCGAGCCGTCCGTGGACGGCCCCAAAGCCCAGCAAGGGCCCCCAGAGGCCGAAGATAGCGAAAACTTTCCCATCCTGATCGTTCTGGCGGCGCGCAGAGGGGGATAGGGAGGGGGAAGGTGGAAGGCTTCTTAGAAGGAGGCTGCTTCTTAGAAGGCGCCGGCCTCACGTCTGCAGACAAGGCCAGCGCCTTCTAAGAAGCAGCCTCCTTCTAAGAACCCTTCCCCCCTCCCCCTACACGTCGTTCGTTTCTAATCGTGCACATTTCTAATTGCACTCGTTTCTAATTGTTCCTGGCCCCCTAGTGGCCAGGAAGAGGCCCAGGATAGAACAAGTAGAAATGAAAGGAAGGATCTTGGCCCCCAAAAAAATCGAAGAACTTTCGAATAATTAGGAATGAACAATGTGTACTCCAACGGACCCAGCCCTCCCCGATGTGGGCACCGCTGCAATGCCAGAAGGAGGCCCTGAGGTGGCAGCTGTCGGCGAATTTCTGGAGTACCCGTGGGTGCGCACAGCGGAGGCCAGTCCACAAAAAGCCTTCCACAAGAAACACCTAACCCTGAGACCCCAGGACGTCTATTGATTTCTGTTGGTGTGGGAACGCCGCGCCTTCCACAGCAAGACCGTCGAAACCCAAGAAACTCGGGGCACCCTGGAGACGAGCAGGGAGTTTCTTGGCATGGGTCTCCACTGTACCCGCTACGATGCCGCCGACTCCTCGCCGCCCGCCCCCGCCAGCGTCCTGGGGGCAGCACATGGGCGCCGGGGAGACACTGCAGCACACGCCGGGCTGCTGGCCCATGTACGCCTCGGCGCGCGCAGGAAACCGAGAGAGAGAGAGGGAACAAAAAACAACCCCCATTCTCATCCTGCTCCTGCTCCTGCCTCCTCCTCCTCCTCCTCCCCCTCCTCCTCCTCCTCCTCCTCCCTCCTCCTCCTCCTCCTCCTCATCATCATCATCATCATCATCATCATCATCATCATCATCATCATCATCATCATCATCATCATCTCATCATCATCATCATCATCATCATCATCATCATCATATCAATCCTCCCTCTTCCTCCTCCTCCTCCTCCTCCTCTCCCTCCCTCCTCCTCCCTCCTCCTCCCCTCCCCCTCCCTCCTCCCGCTCCTTCCCTCCTCCTCCTCCTCCTCCTCCTCCTCCTCCTCCTCCTCCTCCTCCTCCTCCCTCCTCCCCCTCCTCCTCCTCCTCCTCCTCCTCCTCCTCCTCCTCCTCTCCTCCTCCTCCCTTTCTTCTCTCCCTCCCCCCTCCTCCTCCCTCCCTCCCCTCCTCCTCCTCCTCCCTCCTCCTCCTCCTCCTCCTCCTCCGCCGCCTCCGCCTCCTCCTCCTCCTCCTCCTCCTCCTCTTCCTCCTCCTCTGTCCCCGCTCATCCTCCTCCTCCTCCCTCCTCCTCGTCGATCCCCGTCACCCTTCTCCATCCCTCTGTCGGAGAACCGTAAGACTCGGGGACTCGGATTAGCCTGACGGGGCCATCGGGAAAATGACGAGACCCAGCCTGAGATGTTATGACGCGAGCTCCCGCTGAAGACGTCCCACGAAAACTGAACTGTCAAAATCCCGGACGCGCTCGTCAAAAAGCGTCGGCAAACCCGAGTTCGGGCGTGCTCGAGTCTTACGCTCCCCCGTAGAGACACAAGAGAAGGGCGGCGCCAAGGGTAGAAAAAGGGCAAACAGTCAGGACCACAAACTTTCCACGGTCCGCGCGGAGCTCCGACAGTTTATGCTCATGCTGAGAGCGGAGAAGGGCGGCGCCTGGGCACCGAGACCCTGGCGCGGCACTGTTCGACAACGGGCGACTCTGCCCGTGCTTCGGGGCCTGAGGCCCTCACAGATCGATCTGGCCCCCAAAAACGGTGCAGGCATTGCGGTCTAGTAGTTGTGTTGCCTCTTCGGGGGACCTTGTCTGTCCCATCGCGCAGCGACCCACATCGAATCAATGACGACCGCGTCGAATCCGTATCGATTCCGTGTCGAATCCGTGCCGAACCCACGCCGAATCCGCGTCGAACCCACAGGCAACGTCCCCCGAAGCAACGTAAGTCCAGAGGCGGTGGGCCTGAAGAGGCTCCACGGGGCGGCGCAGCGTGCGACACGCGTCGTCACCAGCTGCAGGGCCCGAGGGCGCCCAACCAAAGGCCACAAGCACGTCTGGGCTGGTCCGTGCCGCTCGCGACCAGCGCGCAGTGCTCGTGGGACGGATTGGATGAAGAAAGCATATCATTATCATTATCAGCAGCAGCATCATCATCGTCATCGTCATCGTCATCGTCATCGTCATCGTCATCATCATCATCATCATCATCATCATCATCATCATCATCATCATCATCATCATCATCATCATCATCCTCATCCTCATCCTCATCCTCATCATCATCATCATCATCATCATCATCATCATCATCATCATCATCATCATCATCATCACCCTCACCATCACCATCATCATCATCATCATCATCATCATCATCATCATCAGCATCATCATCGTCAACATCATCACCATGATTGCCACCATCCCGATTAGCATTACCATCACCGTCACCATCATCATCAACACCACCACCCGCATCACCATCGCCATCACTATTACCATCACCATCACCACCATCATCATCATCATCATCAACAACATCGTCATCATCATCCTCATCGACAACCTCATCATCGTCATCATCATCGTCATCATCGCCGTCGCCATCATCACAGCCACCATCATCATCATCATCATCAGCATCATCATCATCATCATCATCATCATCATCATCATCATCATCATCATCATCATCATCATCAAAATCACCATCATCCTCACCATCACAATCACCATCAACGTCGTCGGTGTCGTCGTGTTCACCATGATCGCAATAGTAGTTATCATGATCATCACCATCACCATCATCAGCAGCATCGTCATTGTCATCGTCATCATCATCAGTATCACCATCGTCATAATGGTCATTATCAACATCGTCATCATCATCATCAGCAGCAGCAGCATCATCATCGTCAGCGGCAGCATCAGCATCAGCAGCAGCATCGTCATCATCAGAATCATCATCGTCGTCATCATCAGCGTCATCAGCATCGTCATCATCGCCATCGTCATCGTCACCATCAGCAGCATCATCATCAGCAACACCAACATCGTCATCCACATCATCGTTACTATCATCACCATCATCCTTACGACCGTCATCATCGTCGTCGTTGTCGTCATGATCATCGCCTTCATCGTCATCATCAGCACCATCATGTTCATCATCATCATCACCATCATCATCATCATCACCACCATCACCACCACCACCATCACCATCATCATCCGCATCATCATCAGCAGCAGCAGCATCATCGTCATCGTCATCGTCATCGTAAGGGGTCTGGTTTCGGGCCCTCAGACGGGCTTGTCCCCACGAGGTGGTCGAGAGGTCCTGGGGGCACGCTCTGCAAGCAGGCACGACGTCGAAGTCTGGGCCCGATGGCCGAACCCCACCAGCCGTCGGGGTGCAGGTGGTCTCATGGAGTCTATCCCGTCTCTTCCAAAAACCCCGCCTGCTTCCCCTTCGGGGAAGGCGCTTTACCCCTCCTCTGACCCTCTGCCGGGGGGGGTCTGGACGGGTCCTGGACGGAGGGATTGGAGCGCCCAGGATGGCTTCCAAGAGGGCCTCTGATGTTCCATGGTGGCCTCCCAGATGGGCCACGATAACCGAGGAGGGTTCAGGATGGCCTCCGTCATGCCTCCAGGAGGCCCCCAAGAAAGCCACAAGATGGTTCAACCCAACCATATGCAATTGTGAATGCCGAATATGTGGGTATCGTCGTCCGTGGAGCTCCAACTGGGGCCACGAAACGCTGTACTGGGCGGGGGAACCGCACGCGGACTGCGCCAGAAGGCCCTTCGGTGGAGCTCCCTGTGGGGCCACAAAGCGCTGTACTGGGCGGGGGACCGCATGCGAACTGCGCCACTGGGACCTTTGGTGGAGCTCCTCCCTATGGGACAACGAAGCGCTGTACTGGGTGGGGGAACCGCATGCGAGCTGTGCCACTGGAACCGTCGGTGGAGCTCCCTCCGGGGCGACGAAATGCTGTACTGGGTGGGGGAGGCGCATGCGAACTGCGGAGGAGAGAGGAGGGGGAGGAGGAAGGAGGAGTGAATGAGAAACGCGGGGCGCTGTCTCTTCAAAATGAGGACCCAACACCACAGGGTGGTTGGGACTTATGGAAGATCGATGTGTCTTTGCTATCTCGCCCTTTCGCTTCAGATCGGCTTCTCTGAGTTCTCAATATGGCCCCAGCGGGGCCCAAGAGAGCTCCCAGAGAGGCTCAACAGGCCGCGAAAACACTCCCGAGAGCGCACAAGAGCGCCCCAAGAGAGCCCCAGCAGGCGAAGGCGACGTTGATGGCCCCAGGAGGGGGAAGGGAAATCGAGGACCCCTCATCCGATGATCAACGACCTCCAAGATGGGCCCGCGAGGTCCTCCATGGCTCCAAAAAAAACCCAAGAGGGCTCCAAGAGGACCCCCAGACCACCAAAAAGAGCCACAAGAGGGCCCCAATACCCTCCAAATACCAAAGAGAGGGCCCCAAGAGGGCCGCGAGGAAGCTCCAAGAGGACCCCAAGAGAGATTCCAGACCACCCCGACATGACTGCCAGAGTCTTCGTATGCTTGTACACTGTCCTGATTACGGCAACGCGCCTGGGCATTCTTTCTGGATGGGCTGAGTCGCCAGCCCTCGAAGTTCCGACCCCACCCCCGGGATACATGAGTACCCTGTTTTTTGTTGACGCCACTGGGGGCCCGAAGACTGCCTCCAGACGCGGGAAACTGCAGAAAACCTTGACGTTTGCTGGGCGGCGGCAACGGCGACCGCGGCGACGACGAGGACATAGACCCAGACGGCCTCCATGAGCCTCTGGAGCTCTCTCCAAAAGTCCCAGGAGGTCCCCAGCATGCGTCTGGCACCGCAGCGCGAAACGGACTGCCACCATGGCAAGCCGAGAGCGCTGCACTGAGCCAGCCTCGCATGGGCGAGCCCACGCAGTAATCTGGGCTCGCCGTTGACGACGCAGCAGTACACTCATACTTCCAAGCATTCCTCGCTGCCAACAGCTGCCGAAAAAAATGCCTTTTTCTGAAGAATGGCGGTCATAGTTACGTCCAGGATGTATGGCGCAGCAAGGGCTCCTCCTCCTCTCTACACCTGTTACTCTGTCCCTACTCCTTGTTCGTCTAGAGTCTATCCAACACATCCCGCTCCTCCTCCCTCCCTCCCTCTCCTCCCTTCCTCCGCCTCCTCCTTCTCTTCCTCCTCCTCTTCCTCCTCATCGTCCTCCTCCGCCTCCTCCTCCAGCGTCCTCCTCCTCATCCTCCTCCTCCTGCTCCTCCTGCCTCCTCCTCCTCCTCCTCCTCCTCCTCCTCCTCCTCCTCCTCCTCCTCCTCCTCCTCCTCCTCCTCCTCCTCTTCCTCCTCCTCCACCTCCTCCTCCGCTTCCCTCGAGTCCTCCCTCGCATTCGTCCCCCTTCAATGGAAACAACTCCTCCCTTCGGGCGGGTTCCAGGGGGGGTGACCTAAATGGGGGGTGAAGAGAAGGGCCCTGAAGGGGCTCTTCACCCTTTCGGAGCCCCATGCCCCGAAAGGGGCCCCAAAGTGTCCTTTTAGGGCCAATTTTCTCCACCCCCGGTTGAGGTCACCCCCCGTTACCACCGCCCCGATCCCTGCCGCGCCCCCAGTCGTGTGGGCATTGCGCCTGAGACGTCCCTACCAATTATGATCTTGA